TGCAACAAATGGTCAATTCTTCCCATATCCCTTCTTGTATCTATAAACCATACCCTGAAATCCTTGTCAATTCAGTCAGGATGTCAGTAAAAGTCCATAAAGTGTTACTACAAAAGACAACATATGGATACAACATATTAAGAATCACTTTGATCTAGTGTTTAAGGCACCTGATTACAAACCAGGAGACTCTGAATTCTAGTCTCATCTTAGTCGTCAAAACTGGCTCTAGGGGACAGTGCTCATCTCTGTTTCAAAGCCAAAGAGCCCGCACTGTCCAAAGACATCTCTATGGCCATGTGGCTGGCATGACTAAATGCTGTAGGCGCATGGAAGGCTGTTACCTTCCCACCAAAGGTGGTTCCTATTTTTTCTACTTGCATTTTTACATGCTTTCGAACTGCTAGGTTAGCAGAAGCTGAGACAAGTAATGGGAGCTCACTCCACTACACGACGCTAGGAAATGCCGAATTGCCCACCTTTCTGATTGACAAGCTCAGTGTCTTAGCCACTGAGCGTCCCTTTTACTTTTTATTACTTTCTTTAGTACAAGTAAATGAATAGCACCTTCCATTGAAGGCAACTGGTTTCTTTCAATGGCAGAGCAGCAACATGATGCACAAACACCTGAGTCACTCAACAATAGCTGAGCTACTTCTTATTTACTTAGCAGCTTAACTTGTTCTTTCCTTTTCATCTCTTTCCCTATTAGGTTTATTGAAGTAAAGGTGGGAGTTAAGAAGGTCAAGTCATGAAGCCACTTTTATCTTATTTTTTTTCCCTACATCTCATTTAAGAGCTCACGATAGATTACATAGACTCCCTCTTCGCATTTCTTTTCTACAACAGCAACTTCGTGCTCTCTTTTACACACACACATCTGCAATATATAAATAAATTGTTACAAATTCTTCCTCCTTAGTATGAGGGGAAGAATTTTCCATAACCCATAAACACAACGATAGAGTTTTCGTATCAATAGTATGGAATCATTTGCTATTAGCATGGAATCCTTGGTGTTCTCCAGACTGATGATATTCTCTAGTTGGGTAATGAAAAGTCTGCAAGAAAATAACCAAGCTCAGAGAGCACCAAGGACCCCACAGTTTAACCCTGAACTACAAATATTCTCTTTCAATTTGCCATTACCTTTTCCCTTCTGGGATGTTTTCTGACTTTCCAATCTATCCTATAACCCTAAGATTTCCTGGTGGTCTGCTACCAAAGTATTGGCCAAATTCAACTCTGCTGAGCCTCAATCTTATTGGCCATTTCCTATCTTCTACATCAATGTTGAATAAGCTATATCTCACTTCCTGATTGAAAAATTGATTCTGAGAAACATTTTCTTAGCATTAACAGCTTCTGGCTGGTGCAGCCTCTATTTACATTCTGTAAATAAATAATAAGATTAAAAAGAAAAGAGGAAAAATAATTACATCAAACAGGGTGGTCGGAGGGATTTTCTTTTCTTTGTAAGTTTTGTTTTAAAGTGCCATAGTCATTTATATTTTTATGTGCTTTCAGAATAAGACAAGGAATGCCCCATGTGGTAGCAGTGTTAAGCTCCTGGAAGACAGACTGGTGTTCTTTATTACAGAATTATTATATGTGTTTTAATCCATTATGCAAACCAACAGGATCAGATAAATCATAACTAAAATTTATTTTCTTCCTTGGAACTGTGACATTGCAATTTTATCTTTGTAGTGGTCCATTATAGTATTAATGCGAATATTATATTTTCTCTTATAGCCATGCTGTTAGAAAAACTGGCAACTTAAGAGGGTCTTAATTTTTTTAGAGTTCTTAAGGAAAGAAATATCAATATATGCCCAATCAGTAGAGGAAAGAGGAAAACTGTTTTATAAAGACATCATTAACTTTGACATATATTTCATTTATCCTTAAATTCGCACAATCTGGTTTTCTTTTTTCAGTCGGGGAGGGGGGGGGGGTTAAGAGCTTTAACCACCCTCTTTTGTAAATCCAGTAATGAGCCATTATTCAGGTTGTTTTTCATCCCTTGGGTTATCATTTGTATTTTCACTTTAGTTTTCATCTCTATTTTACAGTTCAAAACTTCTATTTTATTTTCTGGTATTTTGGCATATGCTGGGTTTTGTTTTATTTCTTCATTCTGGCAATCTGTAAATTCTTCCAAGATATTCTCCCTTGCATCTTTCATTTCTTGTTCAAGATCTTTTTTAAATGGTACCTTTTCATGAGCAAATATTGTTGTTGTTATTGTAGCTGCAAGCCTATTTCATATTTCTTCAAAAAAAAAAGCCTTTGAAAGGTCCCCAAGGTAATACTTTTATCTGTCATCTTTGTAAGTTTCATTCCTGGTTATCAAATTCAAAAGGATAGAAAACAGACTTTTCTTTTTCTCTAACTGGAATCTTTAGCAACATCTAGTGTTTCCTTTGTGAAATCACATAAGGTAAAGGTAAAGATTCCCCCACACATATGTACTAGACCCGTGATGGCAAACCTATGGCACACGTGCCACAGGTGGCATGCAGAGCCATTTATCAGGGCACACAAGGCAATGCCCTGTCAGCTGGCCAGCTGACTTCGGCCTTCTTTTGAGGCCATTTTTTGCCCTCTGGAGACTTCCCCAAAGCCCCCAAAGCATGAAAAACTACCCCATGAGCAAACCAGACGTGACTTCCAGTTTGCCCACAGGTCCATTTTTCGCCCTCTGGAGCCTTCGGGGAAGCCTCCTGAAAGCTCCGGAGGTCAAAAATCGGCCCTACGGATAAACTGGAAGTCACCACTCCCAAACTTCCGGATTCCTCATAGGTCCGTTTTCTGCCCTCCAGAGACTTCAGGGAAACTCCTGGGGCCTCCAGAGGGCGTCTGGGGACAGCGGGGGGGCTGTTTTCGCCCTCCCCAGGCTCTTGGAAAACCTCTGGAGGCTGGGCAAGGCAAAAAACCATGGCAAATGTGGGGACTCACTAATCGCCCACATGTGTGCACACTGGAGTGGTGTGTGCATAGCATTATGGGTGTGGCACGCCAGCGCACAACCCCCCTGTGCTCCCCTAGCTGTTGGCACAGCAGCCAAAAAAGGTTTGCCATCACTGTGCTAGTCGTTCCTAATTCTAGGGGGTAGTGCTTATCTCCATTTCAAAGCTGAAGAGTCAGCAATGTCCAAAGACATCTCCGTGGTTATGTGGCTGGCATGACTAAACACACACGGCACACACACGGCACACGGAATCACATAGCCTGCCTCAAATTTCTTTAGGTTCTTTTTTTTAATCAACTAATCATTTTTTCCTGAAAGACTAAACAATTTATATTTCCACGAGGATATTATTTTGTTTTTAATTATTTCAAAAATCATAAAAGTAAAAGTCATAAAATTCCAAATATGAAATCAAATAATTCACATTTGTCTGGTCTCTTACTTTGTTTCCAACTATTAAAAATTCTTATCTAGCTTCTTATTTTTTATTTGCATTCTTTAAATTGGTTTATTCTTTCAAAATGTTTTTTTATGAACCTGTTGTTCATATCAGCTCTGCTGGGCTTGAGAGCTTGATGGATCTCCTCATCTCCTGATGGGCAAACTCATGAGTTAATCAATGGCCTTTGGCCTTCTCATGAGGAGTAGGTGTCTTGAGTACAAGTAGATGATTTCTCATCCTCTCTGTATCCAGAGAGGCTCTGTTGGATGAGACTTGCCACTAGTTATGCTCATTATATAGATAGTTAAATGTATTAATGGCGGGAGGGGAGATATAAAAATGTCAACTCAGTCCTACTAGTGTATAAGGTTCCAGTTTTAATGCTAAGTACTGTGCATATAAAATATTAATTGAATTCTCACTCATAGTCTCAGTAAAATTAAGGCAATTTAAGAAAGTAATGATTAATTGAACTTTTTTAATATGATACATCTATTCTAAAAACAAGTAATTAAGATATTTTTGTTTCTTGTTGTCTTTTTTCAGTCTTTAGTATTGGGTGAGTTTATACAGAAAGTTTGTATTTTCATAAAGGGATTAACAGACTGCCCCTAAAAAGTTTCTGAAGATAGTTGCTTAAAGAAAGATAGTTATTTCTCCGAAGGACTTGTTATCAAAAAGTTCAATCTTTTCTTTTGGGGGGCTTTCCAGATGCACTGTACAATATCTCCCAGTTCCTCTAGTGGCCTAGTCATTCTAGCTGATGGTAATGAGAATTGCAATCTATCATATTTCAGAAGTGTCTGCTGGGGAAAATTTCTATGAAACCTTTACTTTTAGTAAGAACTAAAGTGGTGCATTGGTTAGAGTGCAGTATTGCAGGCTACTTCAGCTGACTGCTAGCTGCAATTTGGCAGTTCGAATCTCACCAGCTCAAGATTGTCTCAGCCTTCCATCCTTCCAAGGTGAGTAAAATGAAGACCCAGATTGTTGGGGATAATATGCTGACTCTGTAAACTGCTCAAAGAGGGCCGTAAAAGCATTGTGAAGCAGTATATAAGTCTAAGTGCTATTGCACCTTAGGGAAGCCATTAGCTCTTTGATCACATAGCATCACTTTGTAGCAAAGACCCATAAAGAGCATATTCAGGAGACAGTGATGTCTCTAGAAGAAAGACACCACTTCTTGCTTCTGTCCATTTACAGAGAAAACTCTATTCCCTGAATTCATTTGTTAAATATATGATCCCTCTTACTAGTTTTATCAACATCCAATTACATTGGTGATTGCTAGAGTTTAAAAAAATATTTAAGAAAAGGTTTTGGTGGGAGGTAGGGTTAAAGCTGAATGTAGTTGTGAGTTTTTCATAATCATGTTCAGAAAGACAACAGTGTAACATGAAATAGGGTTTTCCCCCCTTTTGTTTGTCACAGTTATATCAGCAAGGAAAGTCCAGGCATGTTCAAACAGTACTTTAGCCTTATTACTGCTGCCCAGAATAAACATCGAAGAGTGGACAGGGCTTCAGATGATTGCTTTCTGTTTTCCTTAGCCGCTCTCCCTTGGGTAAGACAGACAAGACAATGCGTTTTCTCCCTCGAACCATCATCTTTACTTGCATAGGTTTTATTTCCCTGTTATGGTGGCACCATCATCTCTCTACCCCTCAGCAGCAAGGTAAGATACCCCCCACATCCCTGATCTGAAAGCAACACTAAGTTTGCCTCAACTAGCAAAGACGTGTGTTGAGGCAATGTAGGCAGTGGAAGGCACTTTCCCATGTTCCTAGAATCAAGATATTTAATAGGTCTCTTGCAATAGAGGCCAAGGAAATTTTAATAAATTTATTAAAACAAAAGTCAACTGTCCCTAACACATATGGCTTAATTGGAGAAACACTCCTTCAAATCTGCCATATTCTCTTTCTTTTTTTATACAGACATATATATCTGTTACAGTTTATTAACATTGCCCATGAATCCTGGCTCCCTAACAGAGGACTAATTTTGGTGACCTGGTAACACATAAAAAGCAAATAATAGTACTAGAGTAACTTATGCTTAGTTGTTTCCTCCTCTTCCTTTCAAAAAGTATCTTAATAATATAAAAAAGTAACTTCATTGATATAGCATAGCAGTAAAATGAATATGGTATTTATTTCAAGTGTTCATTATTTGATCAGCAATTTGTAGTAGGAGAAAAAAAGCCAGGGAACAAAGTTGCTGGTTACTCAGTGGCACAACTGGAGGAGACAAAAAAGTGGGGAACACACACACACACACACACACACACACACACGTGTGTGGGTGTGGGTGTGGGTGTGGGTGT